TATATACTAGATAATTATATAACAAGTATATTTATTAAATATATAAGTACATATATGTATATCTACCTGAAATCTTTAATAATAAAACCTGGAGTGGGGTGGGCTGATGAGGCGGTTCAGCAGGTAAAAGCACTGGCCATGTAAGTCTCACCACCTGAGTTTGACCCCAGGGACCCAAGTAGAGGTGGAATTAACTTCACAGAGTTCTCTGACCTTCACACGTGCCGTGTCACATGTGCATGCACAAAGTCACATAACACACATATACACAATAGGAATAAATAAATAAAGACATGGGAGATCGAGTTCTGAAAATGTAGATAGAGCTTTGGCTAGGACGTAATTAATGGATTTGTGACCATTCCAATCAATCTGATCTATCAAAAAATTCTCAAACACTTCAAACCAGCTTCCTACTTCTGAGCAGAGCTAGGAAAATGTCTTTATCCGGCAGTGCATTAAAAACGGCATAATTAAGCAAATAAAATATAACTTCTTTGGAGAAAAATGAAAAGGTTCTGTAGGGGAAACCTTTCCAAGCGTTTGATTTTAGAGTGAAGAAAACTGAGGCCCAGAAGAAGTAAGAGCTGCCCCCAAACCACATAACAAAACTGGAATCAAAACTCCCCCATTAATCAGTCCTAAGATTGGAAGGCAAACAGAGAAAGTGGGCTCTGGATGGTTTGTGACAGGAAGTAGCGTCCAACACAGGGTATGTGCGGCCTCAAGGGGCGGAGCCGGGAGAAGAGAGTAGGCTGCATTTCACAGCTGGAACAGTGGAATGGGGATCTTCTCCCTTGGACCCTTGGCTGCATTTCTTGGCACCTCCTCTGCCTGACTAATGAAAGATTTAGGCAGATCCTGATAATATTCCACACTTATTCCAGGGAAAGTACTGGGGCTGAGTCTGGTTAGCCAAGAGCAGACCAGGATTGATAGGCCAGGAAGGAAAGTGTCTCAAGCACAATAAAGGTGGTTGTGAGCCTGCTCGCGTGGGTGCTGGGAACTGACCTTGGAGCCTCCGTAAGAGCAATACATTCCCTTAACTGCTGAGTCATGTCTTCAGCCTCTATACCTTTTCTATAAATGTTTAATGTCACATATCTGGTATCTCAGCAGAAGTTTGTGTCCACCCAAACCCGCCAATAGTGACACCTACTGGTTATAACCTATCATTATCTGTGTGAACTAATTTAAGGAAAAAAAATCAGAAAAGAACTGTGCCAAGCTGTGTATTATTATGGAAAATTTGTGCATGCGTTTTTTTTGTGTGTGTGTGAACGTCACATGTATACATACAGGCCATCTTAGTTATAAGTTATACTCTAGCCACTCAAAACATTTGAGCTGTCTTAGACAAGTACATCTAAGGAAATGTGTGATGTGAGGATATCTATCAGGTGAAGGAACAGGGGCAGGAAATGCAGCCAATGTTCATGCATTCTGGGTACTGGGTACTGAGTACTGGGTACTGGGTACTTCTCTCATCTTATCACAGGACTGTCATCAGAGTCTCTGTGGTGAGGTGCAGGAAGGTCTCAGCAGGCTTGCTGATTTTGAGCAATGACTTAATTTAAAAAACAGGCTGACTAATGTAGCAGGATATTTATCAGGATTATGGCATCTGCAGCATGGGAGAGAAAGGAACAGACACTGAGGTTAACTCCAAAGAGCAAATTTAGAAGCACAGTGTTCGGTAGGACATTCCTTTCTACTGCGTTCCTTCATAATCCACAGTTACTGCGAGTTGATTAGCCTCCTGATAACAGCCCTCACAGAGAAGGGAGGGGCCCCTGTCAGTTTGTCCTTAAGGATGGGTGTTGTGGAAATTGTTTAATCCCAATCCAGGGTTTCTACCCTGCCTTTGATCATTTAGTTCCCAGATAAAAGACACACACAACATTTATATTTAAAATAAGCTTTAAACAACACAAGAACTGGGCAGAGATCTACCATCTATGCGTTTAGAATCTACTTTCCTATTGATAACTCCAAGTTATTACTTACTATGTTTCATCTGGGCTGCTCTTAACTTCAATAGGCCAGCCCTCAGGGCCACCTTTTCATGACTCTCCCAACCCATGGCAGGCTTCTCTCCTTCCTTCTCACCTTCTCCTCTTTCCTCCTCATCTTCTCCTCTTCCCTCCTTGTCCTCTTCTGACCCCCAGCCATGGACTCCTAAACCCTGCCTGTCTCTCTTCTGCCCCGCTATTGGCTGTCGGCATCTTTATTTACCGGTCAGAAATAACCTGGGGATAAGGTCACAGTGTCTACATGAGGACTCTCATTTCTGGGACAACCAGGACCAATATTAGCATTCAAATACAGGCAATATCAGGCCAATCCATTACAGGCGGGAGATCCTCTCCTTCTTGGCTCAGTTCCTAACCTATCAGACCATATTTAATGTTCAGATGTTTTTAATTTGTTAATTTAAGTTTTTTTAAGAAGTAATTTAGTTAGATAATATTTCTTTCTTTCATGGATAACCTCAAAGGTTCACAGACCAGGAACTCCTCTGTGCTCTCTCTCTCTCCCTTTTACATATTGATATTGCACAAATGCCATTATTGGGTCATCCATGTCATAGCCTCTGCAAGCTGAAGGCCCACCTTAAGAAGACTGGCTTTGAGATCTTCTAGAACTTGTTGTATGATGTCCTGGCTTTCGTTTAATCAATTCTAGAGTGGATCACACCATCTGACAAAAGGTACCTGCTGAAGCTTTTTCTGGGCATCTGGGGCCAAAAAGATTTGTGTTATTTCTGACTTGTGTTATTTTGAGTGTACAAGATTTGATGAATTTTTCAGTTATGGTGTGAGGATCCTTCTCCTTGACACATAAATATCCAAATTAATATGATGCTTGTAGTAAGGTATTCTCATGTGATCCAAGTGTTTTCAGTTGACCATATGGTGCTGGTATAATCTCAGGCTTATGGAGATTATGCCCGGGGATACCACAATAATGTCTGTTGGAATAGTCTGATAGTTTTGATGTCTGAAAGTCAACATTACAAATGCAGTTACCAACAATCCTGAAAACGATTGGGTGCATAGATGCAGTCTTGCTGGTTTGACAGTGGCATCATAACAAGTCATTCCACTCACTACCGAACACTACCCATGGTCAGGAAAACACCTTCACTATGACCTTTCTGAACCACCACTGAGCCTTGCCCCATGCTCAGTCATAAAGAAATATTTATTAAATTGTAAGGAAAAATAAAACACTGCCCAATTTTAAAAAGAAAAGAAAACCTGTCAGGGAAAATTGCAAAAGACCAGCAGCCATCTAAGCCTGAAACCAAAGCCTGGCTGGTGGAAGAATGCAACATTTGGATCTGACACATGTTGGCTGCAGTGCTTTAACTGTTAGCAATCAAGCAAGCTGTTTGGAGGTAAGGACTCGTGCTAACTGTAAAATACAAATATCTTGTGCTCCATGAGATGTATTGGTGACATGATAGCTCCAGCTCACAGTTCCAACACTGGAGAAGGTGACTGTTTCTGAGATAATAAAAGGAAAGCTCACAAAGTGGCCCCAGTGGGGTACACCTGTAACCCCAGCACTTGGGAGGAGAAGGTAGGATGTTTGTCCCCAGCTACAAGATGTGCACATTATACCCCATTCCCCAACCTAACAGTAATATGATTAGGGGTATTTTAGAATTCTTTCTAAAATCAGAGTAAATTAGGCTCAGAGAGGAAGAGGAACGTTAAGTTTGATAAAGGATGCTGAAAGTTTTCTGTAAACTCAAAAGTTAGCCACATTCTTCAGCATCCTTATAATCCATATCTCTGCCAAATAGTTAAGGATACTTCAAACAACTCACAGCTAAATAGTCTCAATTGCATCTTTATTTAAAAAGATAATACACAAAATGGACACCAATAACCGACTTTGTGTTGAACCATCTATGTTGAGGTAGAGATAGAACACAATCTTGGCCTTTATGATCAGAGATCTATTTGCATTATAATGTTGTGTGTTTGTGTGAGGTGGGGTACAAGCATGGGATATGTGTAGAGGTCAGAGAATAACCGGTTCCTCCTGAGCTGTTCACTGGCCTGGCACTTGCAGATTTGGCTGAGCTGGCTAGCCTTTGAGCCTCAAGTATTTTTCTCTGCCTCCCCAGGGCTGGGATTACAAGCATACACCATTGCATCTAGCTGGCCTGCTTTCTCTTTAATGTGTGTTCTGGAGCTCAAATTTACATCCTTATGCTTACAAAATAAGCCCTTCTCCGATTGAGCTAATCTCCCAAGTGTGCATTGCAGTTTTAATCTCAGTCTGAGTGCTGATACCACGTATAGCCAGGCATTTGGTGCTTTTCTCCTGCCTGTCTGAAATGCTGATGTCACACAGTATCCTGGATATCACTTTGGAACACATTTGCTGAGTCAGTGTACGCAGACTGTGCTCTCACAGTGGAATGGTGTCAGCATTGTCTTTGTCATGTTTCTAGGCAAGGCAGGCTGAAGATCACAATAGTATTATCAGCATGCATACGTTGGAAGCCATCCTTATGTCTTTAAAGAACCTTCACCCTTAAAGTTTTCTGTTCTTCTATCAAATGATACCTGCTGGGTACAGACTAGGTAACTAGATGTCTTAGATCTTTTTAACTTTAGTTTTGTAACATTAAACAGATCAGAATACAGTAGTAAAAACCACATCATATATCATAAAAGTGACTTCTGTGTCTGAAAGTTCACATTCAGCAAGGTTTAAGTGTGAAGCAGTCAATGTTGACCATTAAAAGCTAAGCATTTTAGATGCAAGGTGTAAGGAAATGTACGAAAATCCAACATTTAACAATCAAATGAAAGCCGGGCAGTGGTGGCGCATGCCTTTAATCCCAGCACTTGGGAGGCAGAGGCAGGTGGATTTCTGAGTTCAAGGCCAGCCTGGTCTACAGAGTGAGTTCCAGGACAGCCAGGACTACACAGAGAAACCCTGTCTCAAAAAACCAAAAAAACAAAAACAAAAAAAACCAATCAAATGAAAAATATATTTATTATAAGGATTATAGGGGACACAGATATTTACATGCCCTGCAGATTTCCCTGTGGCAATGCAGATGAAGGTAGAATATTTGTTGTTTAAAACCAAGAAAATCTTAGACGGTAAAACCAAATGCTGTAACTGCGATTACAGAGTTAAATTACTAGTGATGTCACTAAGAACTGGAGCTTTGGCTTTGAGAGGGCCTACAGGGTGGGGCTACATACAAGAGACCAGAAGATTAACGGCACACAGCTGGAGACCTCACTATGAACAAATGACTTTTTTCTTTTCCTTCCTTCCTTGAGCTCTTGTTATGTAGCCTAGAACAGCCTCAAACTCTTTTTCATTTGAGACAAAGCCTCATATAGTGCAGGCTGGTTCTAAACTTTCTACAGAGCTAATGCTATGAGGCTCCTGCCTCAGTCTCCTGAGTGCTAGGATTACAGGTGTGTACTACCACACTCAGCCGACCTTGAACTCTTCATCCTCTTTCCTCTACCACACTCGAGTGCTGTCATTACAAGATGAGCTATCATGGCAGATTTTGCAAGAGTCAAACTCTCCTTCCAAATTGTTCATTAGGATAGATGATTTTAACCATAATCACAACTGTATGTTCTTTTTGCTTGTTTCGTTTCTTGACTGTTGAGGAGACTGACTTTGAGACTTCAGAAAAATTTATTAATGTCAGACAGCAAGAAGGATAAAGATTCTCTATGGGCAGCAAGGAGCTGAAAAGAATATGCTGTGTATGTGTCTGATCCTGACTAGTTACTGCCCTAGGAAAGAGGCCATGGGGTCATCTGGCCTCTGCCGTTTCATCCTGTAGGCCTCCATTTCCTCTTCTGTGGGCTCTCGGGATTCATATACGCTGTTGTAGGGCCTCTTCCGCTCGTCAATCTGCATGATCTCCTTCACGTGAAGAAGGCGAGCCTCCTCTGCATTCAGTGCCTGTGGTGAGAGGTGAAAACCCAGCACCATGAATCTCCATTACACAGGAACACAAAAGACCCCGTGGAAGAGGAAGTGTTCTACCAAATCCCACTGTCTGGAAGAATGGAGTCAGTCTTGCTCTGTGAAACAACAAACGCTTACTATTTGGCTCCCATCGAGCACAAAATGTTCCTTTTTTAATCAGTCAAAGAAACTCTGTTGAGGGGCTGGCAAGACGGCTCAGTGCTTAAAGGCAACTGCTGCCAAGCCTGATGATTCCAGTTTAATCTCCACAATCCACATGATGGAGGGAGAGAACCAACTCCTGCCAGTTCTCCTCTGACCTCTGTATTAGTTATCACACACACACACACACACACACACACACACACACACACACACACAC